TAGTAGTAGTAGTAGTAGTAGGCAAGGACTCTGCTCGTCCGTGATGAGGCACCGAGAAGTCTCCGTGCAACTTCAAGCGGAAACTCGTCTCGCTCAAAGCTCGCATCCACCGAGGCATGTTCATGTCCTCGTCCGGGTACTCCCAAACGTGCTTGGCACACATCCGGTCCTTTGTTTGACACAAATCCTCACCCGCCCACAGACACACACACCCAAACAGACTCACAATATATATTATGTGTATATATATATACAAGAAAATACATATATATATATGTAAATATGTAGCCAAGCATCCAGGAAGGAAGTTGTCTCTTCCAAAAAGCGGGGAGGCTCCTTGTACACGACTTCAGCTGCCTGGACCATCATGGCGAGGTACTCCCCGTAGCACACCTCCGGCTGCGGCCCAAGCACTCTCTTCCATTCCTGCAGCAACAACGTTTCCACTTCATCTGCCCTTCCACGAGACATGTTCTCTTCTACAAGGGCCAGGGGCACTTCAGTAGTTGCTTGATCCCGAGATGGCTTCTCACATGCACACAGATTGCGAAGTTTTGCACACAACACTTACTCGGGAAAAAGGGGCATCCGCCTGGGGGAACAAAAAACTATGTACAGACTACACAACACAAAATCTATATACATACACACAGCATCCTGAAATCACTGTATACACTATATACACCACAGGGGCCATCCACAGCCCTCGTGCACAGAAAACCTATATACATACACACAGCATCCTGAAATCACTATATACACCACAGGGGCCATCCAGCCCTCGTGCACAGAAAACCTATATACATACACACAGCATCCTGAAATCACTATATGCACCACAGGGGCCATCCAGCCCTCGTGCACAGAAAATCTATATACATACACAGCATCCTGAAATNNAGGGGCCATCCAGCCCAGCGGCACACAAGAAAGCAAGCAAGCACAAGCATCTTTTTCGCGGCACAAGCTTCAGGCGAGTCCTTTGTCCTTCAAAAAAACTGACACGAGCTTTCCTCGTGAAGAGCGACAAAGAGAAAGAGAGCTGAGAGACGGCCAGTTTTATATAGGACCAGGATTCCTGGTCCTATATACTGGCCGTCTCTCAGCTCTCTTTCTCTTTGTCTTTCTTCTTCTCCCCCTTAGCTCTCGCATCGAGCTTGGCCTCTGACTCCGGCAATGTCCTCCTTGATGGCCTTCACCACGAGTACCTGCTGATTCAAAAATGCGTTGACCTTATCGTAGGTCACCTCGCCGGGATACTCTTTCTTCGGAAGCTCCTGTGTGGCACGGGGGGTGTGGGGTTGCTAGTTTTGGGCGGTTTCGGGAGGTTCGGGGGGTGTGTTTTCCGAAGGGTCTGTCCTGGAGTAGCAGCAGCAGCAGCAGCAGGAGGAGGAGGAGGAGTAGTAGTAGTAGTACTTGTAGTACTTGTAGTACTTGTAGTACTTGTAGTACTTGTAATACTTGTAGTACTTGTAGTACTTGTAGTACTTGTAGTACTTGTAGTACTTGTAGTACTTGTAGTACTTGTAGTTCCTGTAGTACTTGTAGTACTTGTAGTACTTGTAGTACTTGTAGTACTTGTAGTACTTGTAGTACTTGTAGTACTTGTAGTACTTGTAGTACTTGTAGTAGTTGTAGTACTTGTAGTAGTTGTAGTAGTAGTAGTAGTAGTAGTGAGGCTGTTGCGGTCTAGGGCTCGGGGTTGTAGTTTCAGAACCCTGAGTTTAAGACCCACCAAGCTTTTTTTGGTCAGGGCGAAAAGCTGGAAATGCAAAGCTTATCCGTTCCCTATGTGCAAGTTCTCCTTCACCTGCAGCTCAAACGGATGCAAATAGCTTCAAGCATATCGCTTTTCTGCAGAGAGTGGCAGCGATGCTAAGAACACTAATTATCCCCAGCCCTGGGACTTGGGCTGTAAGGGCTTGAGGCTTAGGTTTACAGCTTGAGGGTTTACGGATTTCGTGAGTGGAATCCGACCTCGTCCTCCTGGGGCCCCGCATCGTCTTGGACTGCAGTGGCTGTGTCCTCGAAAGCTTTTGCCTATAGTGTTGTCGGGTTTAGGGTGTAGGGTGTGCTTTGTCGCGTCTGCTGCAACTTTTGATCAAAAGCTTTCGCCAGCATGTAGGGTCTAGGGGCAAGGATCTCTGGTCGTGCACATAAAGCTCAAGGCAGGAGACGTCTAAAGGTCTTTTTTCGGCAGCTCAGGGCGTAAGAGCTCTCGGTCTCCTAAAATCCCACCAAAACCTATAGCCTTTGTCTACCAAACCCTTCGATTCAACGGAGGGGCCGTAACCCTAAACCCCTAAACCCTCAACCCTAAACCTCGTAAAGCCCTAGAAAGCCCAACTGCTGCAGAGCTATAGTAGAAGGTCTGGCCGTGCATGCGGGTGTCGGCTGGGGGTTCGCCCTAAGCCCTAAACCGTGGTTTCAGGACACTGCGTGCGCAAGTATGAAATAACTACTTGTGTGCATATACGTATACACATATATGATGTTTATATATATATACATATATATGTATATATGTGTGTATGTGTATGTATATATATATATATACCAAGGTTCCGCCGGAATGTCTTGTGCAGCTTCTGGCTTCCACTTCTTCCGATCCACAGGCTCCCAGCGCTTGTCCTCAGTTGAGAGTCCCAGGGATTTTAAAAATCAGGGTTTAGGGATGTTTAGAGCTTAGGGTTTAGGGTTTAGGGATGTTTAGAGCTTAGGGTTTCGGGTTTAGGGATGTTTAGAGCTTAGGGTTTAGGGCTTAGGGTTGGAATTCAGAGTCGAGGGTGTGGGTGCTGTGGTGTGTGGAGGCTTCTTCTCGTCAACCATGGTTGCATCGAATTGCCCCCATGTCTTGCGAGCCAAACTAGCTGCTACATGTCGTGAAACAAAGAACCGCTCGAGCTCTTGCGCTTGGTTATAAACTCTCAGAACTCAGTGTCCACAATAGACTCTGCCCCCCGTTGCCCACCTGCCTAGCATCCGAAACTTACCGACTTGACTGAGTTGAATCTCAACTCGCCTGCACGGAGAACAGGCAGAAATGCTTCACAGACGTCGAGGCAAGGCCATGCAAGGGCTTGCAAGAGCGCTCACCGGAGAATCCTCACTAAGCCCTATACAAATAATGCAGACCGCATTCCCACAATAGGATGATAAAAGACGGTGCGTGATGGCGAGAGTAGAACGATGGTCGGGACAGGTTCATTCAGTCCATTCGTGACTTTCAACAACACCTTACTCCCTTTTCGAGACACCCCATCTCTTCGCCGCAAGCCCTCAACCCTGAGCACCCTAATCCCTAAACCCTGAACCCTCAAACCTAAACCCTGGGCAGCATCCAAAACTGTCGCTGCCATGGCGTCCACCCACTTCTCTTCGTGCTCAGCGTGCTCGGCATGTTCGAAAAGCTCCTGGCTTCCCACGGTTTAGGGTTCAGGGTTCATGATTGAGGGTTTTGGGTTCAGGGTTTGGCGCTCAGGGTTTCGACTCTCACACGCACTGGGCAGGCTCCACACAGGATTCAGGGTTTAGGGTTTAGGATTGCCTTATCTTCGGGTTGAAGGTATGAGGCTTAGGGTTAAGAGCTTCGGGTCTAAGGGCTGCGGGGCCCATAAAAGAGGAGCGCGCGAGTACAATACAGGAGCCGCCAGAACTAATGAGATCTTCGCAGAAGCATCGTACTCATTATGGGTATAGAATAGCATAGCCCAAAACCCTACTCTACGTATTAAGGCCCCTACACAGAAGAGATCTTTCCTGATCAAGGGGCCTCTGCCTCGCCGGAGCCGCAGTCTTAACAGCCCTAATTCAGATCTAAAGCCCGATGGCGGCGAATACAGTTCCGGGTTTAGGAAACAAAACAGAAACAAATATGATATATAGTATATAGTATACAACATATAGTGTGTGTGCATATGTGTATTATACACACACACATATATATATATATAGATATAGATATCGGGATTTGGCACGCCCTACACCTGCCCTACCCATCGTCGGAAAGGCTGGTCCGGGCAGTCCCAACATAGCGGGATCCACGTTCACGATCCCGACGTAGAAACATAGAAATTGGGGGGGGTTTCTTACTCCGGTTCCTGCATTAACTGCAAAGGCTCTCGAACATGAGCCTAAAAGAAATCTGAATTTCTGAATCTGAAATATCTGAAATCCCAAACCCTAAACAATCCTGGACGGTGTCGATGAAGTGAGGCTTGCCAGGAGCTCGCTCGAGAGTTGGCTTCCACTTCGCCGCCGGGTTGTAGCCTGGGGGCTGAATTCTGCACGGCTTGGGCAAAAGATTGGAGTGGAGATTTAGGGTTTGGACTCACACACTCGCGCAACGCAGGCATGGCTTCAATGCTTAGGGTAAACCGGTTTGGGGGGTTAATGTTTCGGGCTTTGGGTCTTACGGGTTCGCTTCGGGGGGTGCGCTACTCGCTCTTATCAAAGGGTGTTATGCAGCAAGACTCCTGAAGCCAATACCTGTGACGAGGCCTTACCGTCGGAGAACAACACGGGGGCAACCAGCCGCTGCACATGTAGACCCTTTCCCAAAAGTCCAAAGCCCAGAACCCCACAGCATTGTCCTGAAACCCAAGCCCCTACGCCAAATCCCAAACAAACCTCAGCCCCAAAGCCCCCAGCCTCCAAAAACCCCGAATCCTAAGCCCCAGCCTCCTGGCCCAAAAAACCCACACGTCGCCCCCAACTCCTGACGACCGCATCTCAACTCCGCCTCAAGTCCTCTGGCCCCAAAAACCCCCACGTCCCACTTGCAAAAATCGAGCTTTTGACAAAACTTTTTGTCTAACTCTATGGCTTCAAGGTTTTCTAGGGTGGCAATTGCAAAGTGGCGCAAAGACCTGATGCTCTCCGTCAATAGACGGCTAAGCGGCTGGGCTTGTTCACATGTCTCCTTATTGTGGCAACTGAAGTACCTTCCCTAAAGCCCAATGATAACTCTCTCATGAAAGCTTGCTCAATGTCCAAATCCTAAGTGCCAATCACCAAGCCGCTTGCTGAAGTGGCTGCTTGAGATGAGTGGCCCTGTCGCGGTAATATCAGGAAATACTTACAACAGCAATAACAATGATAATAACAATGGTACCAACAACAATAACAATAATAATAGCAATCATAACTTAAAAGTAATCGTAGCAATCATAATAACAATATGTAGTGGATATAATAAAGACAATATCACAAAGACAACACTGGAGTCGACTCGAAGGGCGCCTACAACATGCTGTCTATAGTGGGGCCCTGCTCCCAGAGTCGGACCTCGTAGGTTAAGGGTAGTTTTCTGAGGGGATGTAGGGTTTAGGGGACAGGGTTTAGGGTCTAGGGTTCAGGGCTAATTGGGTGGGTGTAAGGCTCAGTAATTGAGACGGATCGCTGGTGCTAGCTGAGGTACACAGACAAAGGGAGCCTTGGCTTCGTTGTAAAGGCCACACTGGCTACTACCAAGATTGACTGATAAGAAAGTAGTGGGGTTTGAATGTGTCCATTAGTTAAGTTTAGGATTTCCGCAGCAGCGCCCTTGTGCTGCACAGATTCAGGCCCTAAACCCTAAACCCTAATGGCTCCCTTGAAGAACCAAGAGAAAAAGTAGAAAATGCCGGGCAAGACTTGGATTCAGGGCAGCCTAAAGGCAGATTCAGGGCACGTAACGAAGCAAAATTCCCCGAGCACCAGGTTTAGGGTTTTGTCGTTTAGGGTTCATGGAGAGCTGCTAGTAAAGTTTACAGGGTCATCATCGTCAGCAGCCGGAAGGGTCTACGAAAATCGCAATGCCAAGCAGAAGTTCTAAGACAACACATATGACAATGCCAAGACGACAACAGACTACGCGGGAAAGTCGCTGGCTACGTCGAAGTGGATTGTTTTTCTGCTACGACTGCTGTAGACTATGGCCTGGTTAGGACTATCTTCGCAGCTCTGTCTTTTCTGTTGTTGTCATCAGGACTATTCTATTCTGTTCACGTCATTCGAATCGGGGTCCGCAGTCCTGCGTGGTAACGACAGAGGTCTTTTGGAGGGAATGTTATGGCGGATGCTTGAGGCTGCGGGCGCGAAGCTCGATCCCACACCCAGACCGGCACCCTAAGGCCTACATCAACCTCACACCTTCCACCGAGCTCGGCTTTGCAGCATGGCATCTCTCTCAGGGCTGTTGCAGTTAGAGCCTGAAGGGCCTCTTCGGGCTTAACCCGGGGGCTTACAGTTTCCTTACTATCAGCATGATGTTTTTTCATTTTTCGGGTTTGGTGGTTTGGGGTTCGCGGATTGGGTAGGTTGAAGGCTTGATGGATGGAGCGTGGGCTTCAGACTCAGGTGGTCGCGCTAAGTAAGGTTTACTATAGGTACCACGCCCGCAAGCACCAAAGCGCCCAACCTTTTGACGCCAAGCTTTCTAACCATCTGGGCATCCAGTCTCTCTTCTTCCGCTCGTGCTATGTGCTAATCGCCGCATGCATTAGCTCTGCCCGGCTATGGAACAACGTGGCAACCTGGATTCATGGCAGCTTAAGACCCAAGCTTTGGTAGCGAGAAGAAGGCCTTCCGGAGAACATCATACTCAGCATGTGAAGACTAGCCACTCCCAGTCTGCGAGTCATTCAGGCTTCGATTCTAGGGCTCGGCTAGGCTTTGACTCCTGCTATACCTGTAAAGTCTCTTATGTACAAGGTTGAACGTGCCCCTCTCAGATCCAGCGTTGCTAAGCACCTGCAACGAGGAACGGCTTTTAATGCTAAGGGCATCTAAGGGCCTAGGGTTTAGAGCTTTCGTGAACATGGAAGACTTGGCATGTAGAACTACAAACGGATTATGGGTTTCGCACCGCAGCAGTGAGGGTGCGTATTCCGGCTGGCAGCATCGCGAGCATCAACTCCCCTCACAAGAAACAACGAACCCCGAACTCTGCACCAAAAGCACAGCTCATAATGGGTGCTTACAAGCAGGGCCTGCAAGCAACGTAGCTTATCCCTAGCTCTAGCTCCAATAAACTACAGCAGGACCCCATTTTCGGAAGAATTCGGCATGCCCCTCTGTATAACCACTTCATGTGCCTTCAAGCACGTAAGTATCTTTCACTCTGACTTCACGCGCCCGATGCCGAGGAAGTCCGCAGATTCAAAAACTTGAATTCCTACTAAAGTGCAGGGCGGTATAGGAGCATAGACGAGCAGAAGACGGCGATGGATGCACATGATACTTTGACTCCCTGCGAGAATCCAGGAAGGACATCGCTGACGGATAAAGCTTCGTTGGCACCCGATCCGAAAGTTCTGACCCGCTGTTAGGCCCGTGGTCTAACAGAGGTTTCAGGGCTTTGAGAAAGCCCTCGACGGAGACCCAAAAGAAAACTCCGCCCCTTCACTCTGCCCCTTGAAACCCTCCACCAGCAAACGCTGAAAGGACCAGTCGAACCCTGAACACGAATTACCCCTACACTCATATTATTGCTACCCCCCCCTTCAAAGATCTGAAAAAAGGGCAAAAAAGGTAGATCTTTGGGAGTGGGGGTACCATATTTTTACACCTAACCTGTAAATCACGACCTCAGCGCCATCGTACCGACTCGCGCCGCCGCTCCAAACTGCGGCTCCGCGAGGACTTCTCACGAAAATGGCCTCGTAGGTCCAGGGTCGCGCAAGCCAAACGTAGAAGACTAGCTACTGCATCTGGACAAGAACAGCCATGATCCCACAGGTTTCAACGAGGGGTTTAGATAATTTCGGAAACACCACGGTGCCCCGAAGATTCTACGCGGTCCTTTTGCAAAGGGGCCTGAGAGTTCCTGGTCTTGCAACTTGTAACTTGTAACTTCATTTTTGGGGCTTCTGTTTGGTGTTTAGGGCTTAGGGGGTTTAGAGTTTGGGGGTTAGGATTTAGGGTTTGGGGCTTAGGATATAGTGTTCAGGGTTGAGGGGTTTAGGGCATACAGTAGTATTTGAGAGCCCTGATGATCTAAAGCCCCTCGCTATTGGATATCGGAATCCATTTGGATCGTAGGCTTAAACGCTGAAACATCGAGCTTAACATCGTAAACCCTCAACCTTTCTTTGAGCAGGGACTGCAATGCACTAAGCTCCGAATCCCTGCAGCCAAAACTCTGAAACCCGAAACCCTTAAAGCCTCAACTCTGAAACCCCAACATGATTGATATAGGGGCATTTATACTTAGAGTAGGCTTTTGGGGTATATTAAACTATACTCAACATAAGGAGCTTCCAAAATAGTATTGGTAATTGTTCAGGCCCCTATATTATCCGTGGAATCTATTCGAGGCCGCGCTCAGCACGCTTTACAGGTTGTGATCTTGGCGTTTACACATATACTCATGTAACCAGCACACCACCAAAACTTAACTGCACAGCTAGACCCTCAATCCTATACCCTAACCTTACGCCCTGAAAAACACCCAAGCCATCTAAGACGAGAAGATGTATCCGTTCGTTGTGCATCCTAGCTGCATGGCTTCGGTGGCGACAGGCGCTTCCTGTCGTTGACTTGAGGGGAGCAGTTGGCAGCTCGGGGCTTTGACATTCGTTGGGGTTTCAACGAGGGGTTGTATGTTTGCAAGCACTGTCATCCAGGTTGTAACCATTTTTCTGTTTTGCCTCTATCTGCCCATGAACCCTTCTCAAGTACACAGGAGCCCAGATTTGATAGGACCCCTTTGCATAAGGGCTTGATTGGTGCTTGTGTTTTTTTGGGGATCATGACTCCTACTGCTACTACTCCTCCTCCTCCTCCTCCTACTCCTCTCATCGGATTTTACTATTGCTGATAATCTGCCAAAACGATGGTGCAAGAGCTTCGGACGTGAAAAGTGTGCCTTCGAGCTTTGGTATCTCAAAATCTTGTTCTAACCAGACTGCCCTCAGGCTGGCACAACAAGACAGCTTCGTTTTCAAGACCCCCGAAAGTCTCGAATCCCGCAAGGGTTTTGAGATGTCATGTTTCGGTTGAAAAGGGTAGCCCGAAACCCTTGGCCCTACGTTTTCCCGTCAGCAACAACTCTAGGAGGTGGTATCCCCTTAAAGTCCCCCATATTTATGCCACAGTTTCTACCCACAATGCCGTTCGTAGTATTGGTGTTTCTATCTGACTTTTGTGCCTCTCCTCTGTTGTACTTCGTTACATCCCCCAAACCTTCTCGAACCAGTAAGACGCACATCTCACTTTAAAGTCCCTAATATAATTTATTTATATATATATATATAGAAAATGCTCTCGGGTCTCGGGTCCCGGGCCCCACCCCCCAAACCCCCGCTCCCCTATGGTACCCCACCCCTGCCCCTGCTGGTTTGTTGGTTGCCCGCCCCTGCTGCTTGCCGCACTCCCCCCCACCCCCCCCCAAATGGTACCCCACCCCTGCCATGTGCGGAAATGAGAGAGCAGTACCGCATGCGGCGGAACTCCCCAATTGAAGCACCACTTTCATCCGATGCCCATGCGCGGATCGTCGCGTGAACCACTGTGCAGCTCACGAACACGCACAGGACTGCGAGGTCTAGCATAACAGGTCCGTTTAACTGCACTTGTGAGGACCCATGTGCGCGAGGCCTGTGCTTCGCCACAGCGCTAACCGGTTGTCCTGAAATGTCCTGAAGATGCACTTATAATTGTTGGCCGTGCGCGCGAAGCACGAGCTACATAGGCTTAGCCTGGGTGAAGTTTGGTGGGGTGTGGGTTGTGTGTTAGCGGCTCCATATCTCGGACGGGGATTGGAAGCAGCCGGTCTCTGCGAGAGGGCCTCCAGCGCAGGTGCGGTTGTCTCATGATTTCGGAAGTGGAGTTCGATGGAAGCTGCCGCGGGGACTTCGCCGCTCATGTCATCCAGCATACATAGCAACCCAACCAGGCTTGGCCGGTGCTTTAGCCGGTTTGACGCAGGTGGTCTTCAGGTTTTGGTGCCAACGCGGCCACGGCGATTCTTTGCCGCAGCTACTACACCACCGGCGACCAAAGTCAGCAAGCTGAGAGTTCTTACCTTGCTGCTTGTTCCACCGGATGTAGTGGCCGGGGGGGGGGGGGGG